TTCGTTGTGCTCTTTGATCGCTGCAATGACATTGTCGGTCAATTGTACTGTCTCTGTCTCAAAGAGGGACAGGTTTGCAGGTGTGACACTGACATCGACTACTTCTGCAGCCGGTGAAAGGGATACACTGCCTGGTGCATTCTGTGCCGATGCCACAGCTGCATAGACTGCTGAGAGAGTGATAGACTTTGCCAGCATCTTGGGCAAGAACTGCTGGGACAGAGGAACGGTCGAGAGGAGTTGAAGAACGGATCCCTAGTGATCGTGTCCCTGCTGCTCCAAAGATTTATATGTGTTCACCCTCGTTAATACCAATATGCCGGAGCGGAGGAACCTGCTGTTTTCATCGACAATGCTTTATTAATTACTTGGGCCGATGCAGTTTGATAGCAGTAGTGTGAAATGGCTCTTCATGGTTCGCTACCGTTGGGCAAAGGATCAATGTTCCTTTCGTCTAGAACGCCATGGGCGACCGGGTAAGTAAACAGCTACCGGGAATACTGGGCGCCTAGCACAGGGATGCATTTTGTCGACCTGCATCCTTTGGTGTTAATATTCTCCACGTGTTGTCGATACTACCGTTTGCATTTTGGATCCAACAACGTTGCAGTAGTACGCTACTTGCATAGTGACCTTCCCCTAGATCACCCATGCCCCATGATTTAGAACAGAATTTGCGTTGGTTCGAGAAAAACGCAGTGTGCACTACGAGAGGGCGCCTGTGCCACAATTTGGTTGAGTAGAGTACTTTTCTTGTACACCCACTTTGGCGTAATGGGGTTGTGGCCCGCTTTTCTAAGGCCCACTACCCCACCCAAGATACTGCACTCCGCGGGCATTCCGGGACTTCTTTCGAGGGCCACCAAAAGAAGCTCGCTTAGCAAGGTTTCGCTTTTGTAGGCATGGCTTAATGCTGATATCTTGGCTGTATACGAACTAAGTAGTTTAGCCTAGACATGATCTGTGGTTTAAGTAAAGTTTAAATACCAATCAGCAAATCGGTAAAGGCTGAATCTACTGCGTAAGACCTTGAGCATATACCAGGATGTGAAGGAGGAAGCATGGTAGTGCAAAGTTGCACAATATTTCATTCTGCATACGTAGAGTTCTTTGGCGGGGTTGAATGGGGACCAACGCACCTTCTTGTACGTACTATTCGATACCCAATCAAAGCCTCAAGAAGAGCCTCACCAAACTCAACGAGTAGCAGCCTTCAGCATGTTCCTGCGAGTCCCATATAGGTAGTTCTTGCCGAAGGAAGCATCCGACACTGGCAAAGGTGCTCACCGCAGCCGGCGGCACTCGGTGCTAGCTGGCCCGCATGCAAGTAAGTACCGGCAATAATTCCGATCACCGAGCGATGTATCCGGGTTAGCGGCTTCCCCTCAAATACCCTCGCTGCAGTTGGTCGGACCTGGAGAGAACATCTCGACTTATACTTACACGTAAAGTGCAAGAAGCTGGAAACATGTCGCGAATCAATGGAGCGGAGGTAGCAAAGCACCATAGCAAGAATGATTGCTGGATTGTCCTGGATTCGAAAGCATACAATATTACCAACTTCTTATCAGAACACCCAGGTGGCGCACCAATTCTCATGAAGAATGCTGGTTCGGTGAGTGTACCTCAGTGTATGGTCAGAGGATTTTCTCACGATTGAATAGGACGCAACAGAAGAGTTCAAAAAATATCATCCATTGAGCTATATCGATGACTTCCTGCCAAAGGACGCCCTGCTAGGGCCTGTTGACCCAGACACTTTTGGCCAGCTTCGTCAAATCAAAAACACCGATTCCAGAAAGCCGTCAGAGACCGATCCCAACTCTAACGAGATTCCCCATGTCAGTCTTTGCGTTTCCACGACCGACTTTGAACCAGTGGCAAAAGCAGTCATACCCCATAAGTCATATGTCTATGCCTCTGGCTCCGCAAACACGGGTGCATCGATTAAAGCCAACATTGAGGACTGGGGTCGCATTAGTTTCCGTCCACGTGTAATGCGCAATGTCGGCGAGGTAGACACGCGTCGCAGGATTTTTGGCCACAGCTCACCGTACCCATTCTACGTCTGCCCCATGGGGACAATGGGCGCGATCCACCCAGGTGCAGAACTAGAAATGGTGCGAGGATCAGTCCGCAAAGGAATCCACATGCTTGTCAGTACAGCAAGTTCCAGGACGACCGAGCAAATCATGCAGAGTTATGTCGATGAACAAAAGCGGCTTGGCAATGGAAGCCCGACACAACTGTTTTACCAATACTACATGCCTGTGGACAAGGGCAAAGCTCTCGAACTCCTTCGCATTGTAAAGCGCTGCGGATACAAGGGCCTATGGATAACAGTCGACGCACCCATTCTCGGAAAGCGCACCGCAGATCGCCGCCTTCAGGCCGAGGAAGCAGTCGCAGTCGGCCTTGCTGATGAAGGTCCCGGAGAATGGGAAGCTGGTGGTGACAATGCTTTTGCTCCTGCCATGGGCGGACGCCCAGTCCAAGGCCAATTAACTCCGTACATGACATGGGACGACTTGGAGTGGATCCGTAAGGAATGGGATGGACCCATTGTACTCAAGGGCATTCAATGCGCAGAAGACGCAAAACTCGCAATGGAATACGGATGCGATGGTATCTTGCTCAGCAACCATGGCGGCAGACAATTGCATACTGCGCCTAGTGCACTCACGACACTCCTGGAAATCCGGACCTACTGTCCCGAAGTCCTCGGTAAGCTAGAAGTCTTCCTCGATGGCGGCCTGAGAGACGGAAACGATGTGCTCAAAGCATTGTGTCTGGGTGCTACTGCAGTCGGTGTTGGAAGGCCGTTCCTCTATGCGCTTGGTGCCTATGGCTCCAAGGGTGTTGAGCGATGCGTTGAGAGTAAGTTCAAACACGTGAGAGTCTGGATAAGGAAAACTTTGCTAACGCTTCGATCAGTACTCGCGGATGAGCTCGATACTGGAATGCGCTTGCTGGGTATCACGTCCTTGGATCAGTGTAGACCTGAGATGGTCAACGCGAGTCGCCTGCTGAATGAGATGTGGCGACCCGAGCAGTTGAATTTGAAGAGCAAGATATAGATATAGAATATACAGGAGCATCTTCGGGTACGAATTCAGATTGCGCTGTCATGTGGTTTACGGCTATGGTTGTTCTGACTCGAATGGTTTTGGTGATATTTGTGGTGCGATCACAAGCCGTTGGAAAGCGAAGACCAATAGTACCCCGCAACCCCACATTGACTGCAGAAAATTTTAGACACGACGGATTTTGATGAATTTTTGTTACAAATAAGGGTTCTATTATGATTACTACGACCAACTGAATATGATCGTCTGCGCCTGGGATATGTTCTGATTCATTTACACGTAAATTCGTTTGATTTCCATCACAACACCTTACGGTGAGATGGCCGAGTTGGTTATGGCGCCAGGTTAAGGTCTTCTTAACACTATATTCCTGGTCACGAAAGTGGCGTGGGTTCGAGTCCCACTCTCATCAGCATTCGTCTGCTTCAGCAGATACCCCAGGGTTCTTTTTTTGCCATTGTACCTGTCTCCAAGATTTGGCTACATGGATCTATTGTTTTTGCATATCAGCCTGCAATACATCTGGCCTGAATGATATTTTTCATGTCTTGAAGCGAACATACATCTCCTTCTCTCTCAAGAAACAAGCGTAATCGCCTCACTTCTTTGCAACAGCAACGTGCGCTACCATAGGAAACCCAACCACTTCCACAATCTCCGCATCCTTCTTCCCATTCACGGCCCTCTTCGCCGTAACCGCCTCCTTCCTCCCTTCAATAACAAGTTGCTTCCCAAACTCCACATACTCTTTCTCCGTCCACTTAGGCCCAACCTGCCTCCATATATCCGCCAAGAACCCACACGTCTCCTGCAGACTACCCCCCGCAAACTGCACAGTCACCTCGCTCATCTCCACACTTTCAAACCCGGCTTTCTTTAGTATGTCTCGCAGGTGCTCAGCTTCGTACCATTCTTCCGCAATCGGCCACTCGAATGGTGGGTCGTGCGGTCTCACTGCCTTTTGCGCGCGGTGCAGCACAGGCATGTATCCTGCAGACTTCCAGGTTGTGACGATGGCGGTGCCGGTGGGGGATAGGGTACGGTGGATTTCTGATGCGCCTTTTAGGGGGTTGGTGAAGAAGAATATGCCCATGTTTGTTATTGAGTGCGTGAAGGAATTAGAGGGGAGGGGGGAGAGGGCGTCGCCGGGGAGGACGTGGAAGGAGAGGTTTGTAGTAGTGTTTGAGGGGGTCAGGGTGGGGAGGGTGTGTTGGGCTAGAGTGATCATTTGGGGGGAGGAGTCGGTACAGATTATAGAAGGGTGGAGGGAAGGGTTTTGCAAGAGGAGTTCTTGGGCGAGGATGCCGGGGCCGCAGGCGTTGTCGTGGATGTGCGAGTTGTTGGAAAGAGGGGGGAGGAGGGAGACGAGGTGGGTGGCTAATTGGCGGGTGCAGCCGCCGGAGGAGGTTTCGTATTTTGAGGCGAAGTCGGAGTAGAGCGTATCCATTGAGGGTTTGGAGGAAGTCATCTTGTTGGATTTGGTTTGGTCGGGTTTGAATAGTGAGAGGTTGAATGGAGTGCCTTGGAAGTGGGCTTGAGGCGGGTTTAAATATCTAGAGTGTTGATGACTGGATTACAGGGACTATTTCTGGTTACTATCGGTTTGGGGGATGGAGACTTCATGTACGCAAGCTGGTGCTGGTATGGATAAGTCTCCGTTGCACTGGAACTGTAGCTCGGATACTTTTACGTATGGAAAGTTTCCGACGCTGCAAAGTCTTATGTACGCACCCAATATGCATGCAAAACATCCTTTCTGGCCAATTGGGTACTGAGTAGAAACCAATCATGTTAGCCATCTCTAATGAAATTGCAACGTTGGACTCAAGTCTTACACATAATCCCATAATTCCTACAAGCCACAAACACATAACCCCCATCCCCTTTCCCCCTCACCAGTCAGGGAAAAAAACACTATAACTTCACATCCTCCCTAAACCTAACCAATCCATCCTGAAAAGTAGTCGCAACATGCACGCCCCTCTCATAATCCCACATGCGACTCATATACAGCGCCCTCCCCTCCGCCGCCCGCGTAACCCACGACTCCTGCACAAACCACTTCCGTCCATCCTGATCCCCCTTCCCATACCCCTCCAGATTACACACCGGCAACGCCCCATCTTCCCAGAGCGTAGGCTCAGCGTGCGGATGGTCGACGCGCGGTTCGGGAGACATAATAAGATCCCGGATGCCCGTGTGGAAGATTACGCTGTGGCTGAGCGATGCCATGCGTGTGAAGTCGCGGGGTTTATCGAGGTGTCGCGGGACGATTTGGGGGGATTGGCAGTCTGAGGCGTAGAGGTGGGTGCAGGCGTGCATGTTTGCTTCTCTTGTCAATTTCATCTTTCTGGGATCTGAGGGGGATGGGAAGGGCGCGGTAGGTAATGGAAGCGATCCCCGCAGGGAGTAAAAGGTTAACTGTTTTCGGTCGAGTGGTGCGCGGGTGCGGTTGTAGGGTGCCATTTCGACTTTTCGGAGGTGCAGGCCGGGGACGGGGTTGAAGTGATTTGGGTGGGCTGGGAGGTAGTCTTCGACGAAGACGGCGGAGTCGTTGCTGGGGGTTGAGGAGTGCTGCATTGGTTCGTTTTCTCGGCCTTTGAGGACTTCTTGGTACATTTCTTTTAGGTTGATGTGTTCTTGGGCATCGACTGATGCGCTTTCTTCGCGCTTGAAAGAACATATGCATGTGAAGGTGCTGCTTTTCGCTGCGGCTTGGGTCACGGTTACGTTGCGAGAGCAGTAGTTGTAGCCATCGCGGATTTTCTCCACACGGTAGGTGAAGTGCTCATTGGGGTTTCCAGCGAGGTTGAACCAGCCGGTGATATTCTGGTGGCTCAGTCAGCTGGATAGCTAAACGTGAGCCCAAGGCTGCAACTCGCATGTATCAGGTATCCCTCTTTCATGGTTTGTGCTGCAGCCCATGCAGCCTGCGCAAAGATATGACCACCATACGTCCCATTTTCTCCGCCTGTTGGTGAGTAGCCTCTGGTTATCGAGCGGAACGTCAACTCGTCGATTTGTTCGAGCTCTATGAGTTTGTCGAAAGGAAGTACTTTTCCTTCTTTGGTATAATACGGACGGACGACCATGGTGCTAGTGAGAGGGAACACAAAGATGAGACATGGATGGTTACTAGTGCGGTTTTGATGGTGTATTATACCAGCCTAATCAAAGTCTCAACAAACAGGCTTCAGCCTCACGGATGGAAGCTGAGCTAGCAAGTTACCTCGGAATACGAATAGTAGACAAGGCGCGGGGTCGGATAACAATAGTGATAAACCAATCATCTCGGTAGTGCCAAGCCAATTGTGTTACACAAAAGAAATATAGTTTTTAACTTATCCATAATCGTGCAGCTAGTATACTGAGCAGGGACATCCCTACACGCAACGTGGCTGAGCGTCTTTAGAAGTATCTGCTGCGATCGATTTTTCAACAACATGTAACAGCTCAATATAGTCTATCTTCTATTTAGGAACCACAGCCTCAGGTAGTAAAACACGAGACCAATACACCATATAGCCACAAGAACACTAGCTTGAATGGGTGCAAAAACAGCACCGCGAACGACAACAAACCCGCTAATTACAGCGAATATGATAGGTACGAGGATCAAGGATTTTACAGGTCGAGGCAAGTCAGGTTCCCGGAAGCGTAGGATTATTGCGCCAAGGACTGTAAGGAAGAAGAATGCATACTCAGCAAGACCGTTGAGCGTGAGCAAGATACGCATGTTTCCAAGCAATATGTAAATTGCAGAGAGGACGGTATTGAGGAGCAGTGCGTTGCTAGTCATAATCAGACGGCGTTCAGTATAGTCAATGGATACCACTTACATTGGCGACTCTCCGTTGTCTATTGCAAGGTCTGCTGGTTCGCTCTCCTCGGTATCGCTTCGGACTTTGAATGTGCCGATATACCCGACTGTACCAAGGATATGTGGGAACCAGTTGTTGTTAGCCGCCGCCACAGTCATTCTTCCAGCAACGAAAGAGTTGCCGAGTGCAGAACCGGCTATGACGAGACATATCAGGGCAGTAGCGAAGTATGCTACACCCTTTCCTAGAAAATGTGTGACAGCCGTCTACCCAAAGTTAGCAAGGATTCAGGTACGCGGAACTCTGTGCGATACTTACCACAGCGGCAGCGTCAGTTGTTGACACCACTTCCCATGGAAGTAGAACATAGTAAACAGAATTGGCCGCTACGTAGCAAAGAATGATTGTTGGAATAGCAGTGTTGATGGAAAGTGGCAGCTGACGGCTGGGATTGCGAAGCTCAGCTGCAACATAATTGGCCTTGTCCCATCCAGAGTACGCCCATAGAGCCCCGTACAGCGCTGTGCTATAAAAGCCTAGTGATTGCCACGTAGTCACTTTAGTCCAGTCAAATCGCGAACCGTCAGGTAAAACTGTATCACGTGGCGAAAACCAGTTGTTCTGATGCCAATCACCGCCGCCTAGGTCCTTGCTCTTTCCAAGGAAAACAAAGACGACAACCAATCCAGCGACTATGAGAAGAAAGATTGTGAGCAGCTTTATGGCGACAAAAAAGCTCGACAACCGAGTGCTCGTCTTGGTGCTAATGGAGTTAAGAGTCGTAACGCAGACCAAAACCAGCAAAGACAAAAGCTTGTGAGTCAAGGGCGGATCAGATTCGTTGATGCCCAAACTGGAGTATATAGATTCAACGAATACAATACTGAGGATCGCAAGGGTGGCTGGCATAGTCGCAACTACCCAAGACCAAGCCGCCATGTACCCAAACACATCGCCGTAGATGTAGGTAAGGTACGGTTGGATGCCGCCCTCGCCAGGAAACGCAGTACCCAGCTCGGCCATGGTGAGGGCACCCGTCCACGCAAGGATACCTCCGACAAGCCATACTAAAAGACCGGCACCAGGCGATGGGACGTTTGCGTCGATGGGTCCTGGAGATGAAAAGACGCCAGACCCGATAACGATGCTTATCAGTAGAGCAAAGCCGTCCAGTGCACCGAGATTGCGAGCAAACGTGCTTCGGGGAAGTGCGGTTTCTTCATGTTCTTCGTCGGGCTCGTAGGAGGTAGTCGATTCCTGACGGAGTAGGGGTGCCGTCTCTGAGGGTGCCATTGTCGTGGTCTGAAGGTGTAGAAGGGGTGGCGCGGGTTACTATGGTATTACGGTTGTGCCGAGGTGATTGCGCATGAGCGCACGAAACAAGCTGAAGCCTACGGAGCTCTCCTGGACGCGTCTGAAATCGCTAAAAGCCGAGCGTTTGTTGTCGCCCTGTCCTGTGAGTGTTGCTGATCTCGAGGGCCGAGGTGCAAATGTTCAGACGGCTAGACAGGGCACACGTTGAGGCGCGACATTATCGCGTCAAAACGAAGCTATGTTACGTCATCCCGAATTCACGCGACTATCTCTTGCAACAGATTGCAAAACAATATACGAACATTTTGACACGGCATCTTCATCATAATTACATGTTTCAAAGACATGCACACAGTTACCTTTTGTAATCTTCTACAGCAATTGTTTTCCGCGGTGTTTTTAATTTCGCCCCAAATTTGAATGGCTACAATGCTTGGATTAAAACTATTTTGAAATCTAACAAACCACCATTGGCGCTGGACCCAATGACTCAGTTTCATATTACAATCAATTGACGAAAGCAGCTTAGATGAGCATGTTTATTCGGCTCGTCGGGCTAAGAATATGCACAGATCTATACGACAAACATCTTCGCGTAAAAACGTGGAGAGCAACGCGCCTGGTGACATCATTCAGCCACTTGCTGGGTCTGGAACAGTTTGTGGACAGACACGAAGCAGGGCATGTGACAAGGCGATAGCGAACACGAGGAGAGAAAAGAAAACCAAGAACGCATGCACACATGCGTGCTGCGTGCATGCAACTAGCAGGTTGCTGGCTCAGGTTCCTTAGACCGATCACAAGTTGGGTAGGTTGTTCCATTCGAACTAGGTGGGATTCTAGACATTTTCCGAGAGGCGCTAGATCAGAATCCACGTTGTCCATGTCAAACTGCATCATTGCAATGAATCTACGAGGGTTCGCCATGTAATTCGTTTACACTGGATAGAGATTTAGAAAAGGCGGGGTGGTGGAGTTTGAATGGTTACCAATATGACGGACCAATGACGCTCGGTGGAGCCTGCGGGACCTAGTAGCTGTTCCCGGACTTCCCCAGGGCTTAGCGCTGCCCATCATCATGGCGACGTCACTCTGAGGACGACGAGCAGTTTGCTACAAGAGATTTCAAGGGCCTTTAAAGCGCTGGGTCCCTTCTAAATCTTCCAATTCACTCCTCCTATCAAGATACCCAATCCCTCCTCGCTTTTGTTTTCAAAAAATACCCTCATCGATACCTTTTGAATCAGACACATTCACATACTTCTCAAAATGTTCTCAAGACAAGCAACACAGAATGCACGCTTTGCTGCTCGCTGTGCGCGTCGCCCGGCTGCTCGCGTAGCAAACCCCCAGTACCGTGCCCAACACCCACGCTTCCAGTCAACCCAGACAGTCAGCTCCGGTAACTCGGGGGCCGGTACACATGCCGCAGTTGGTGCTGCTTCCGGTGCTCTTGCCGCCATCACAGTCGGCTACATCTTCTACAGACAATCGGGTGCTAGGGACGTTGTCGCGGCCTCCAAGACTGCACAAGGCTACGTTAAGTCGGCTTCACAAAAGATCAAGGAGCAGACCCCCGAGCCAAACGAGGCGCTACAATGGCTTCGCCAAGCCGCTCAGAGTTATGCTGCGTTCATCCCCGGTGCCAAGAGCTACGTTGACTCTGCCTTTGATGACCTCGATGCCATACGGGCGAAGCACGGCGACGAAGTCGACAGCATTGTACGCGAAGCATACGATGAGATGCGACAAGTTCTGGGCAAGGGCGACATGAGCCTTGTCACTGCACACCAAACCTGGGACGTCATTACCAAGCACATGAGCCGTATTGCAGACCTCGCCGGTGACGCTTCACAGCAAATCATGGATAACCACCCACAACTGAAGGAGAAGTTGGGCGGCAACATCGACAAGCTCAAGGAGTATGGCGACAAGTATGGCCCTGAAGCAAAGAAGGAAGTCGACAGGACCTGGAAGCAGATCAGTGACGTTGTCAAGACTGGTATGAGTGCCGGCAACATTGAGAAGATCAGGAGCATAGTGCAGGAGAAGATTGAAAAGCTGAACAAGATGGGTGACGAGGCGTGGAAGAAGGGCATGGAGCAGGCAAAGCCCTATCTTGACAAGAACCCACAAGTCAAGAAGCTCGTGGAAGAGAATGCCGATGCGCTGAAAGGAGGCAACGTCCAAGAGCTGTACCAGCGCGTCAAGTCAGCCGTTGAGAAGGGCGACACCGGTGACCTCCAGTCATACATCAAGAGCGTCGCGGATAAGGCCAAGGATGGCGGTTTTGGTGACTACGAGCAGTACCTCAAGAAGATTCCCGGTGGTGACCAGATACTACCCAAGCTGAGCCAGCTTCAAGAAGTGGCCCAGAAGCACGGCGACGAGGCACAGAAGCTTCTCAAGGAAGCTGTTTCAGAGATCTCGGACATTCTGCAAAAGAAGGGCGACGAGGCGTCCAAGCTTGCTGAGAAGGCCAAGGAGGACTCGAAGAAATAGAGCGCTGAGCTCGGTTAGCAATCATGGGGAGGAATACTACAAAGCTTGCATCTGTACTCTAATGTATTATCAGCATCCATTGCATGGAGAGCAAATGACACGAACGAAATGATTCAACTAAGATATGCGTGAGCAAGCACTACTATTGGACTATGCATACTTCTTCACTTGCGTTGCATGTTGGCCATTTGGAAGTGAATAACGTCGGCGCGACATCCATCTTGTATCAAGGCTGTTGTCCGTATGGTGTAACAATGGGAGTTTGCGCAAGCCATGTTTGCCTATCGGCTTGGTGCATTCCTGCACAGCGATGGCCGGTGCAACGTTGAGGAGGCAACAGACCCGATTCACGAGACGCGTGTCAGGAGTGGGTGGGAACAGCTGGGTTCTTGCTGTAAAGGTAAAAGTCCTGAGAAGAGACTCCGGATCTATAAGGGAAGTTGATATGCACGGATATACGCGAGGCGGCCAACCACGAACAATAAGCGACCGGATGAGAGCGGCACAGGTCCGATGCATTGGACAAGGTAAGGATGTTTCATGTATGCCGTGGTTGGGCATGCGGTGCTCAACCATGCTTTGGAGTAAAGTGCTGATGCCTGAATACGATTCAAAGGACCAAGTACTGACGAAACAACAGCCTCTCCGCGTTTGTGGCTGCATGGAGACGTAGGCGGGGATGCACGCTTGTCACTGCCTGCATGCAGGAACTGCTCACTGCGCACACCGCAGGCCGTGCTAGAGGCATTAGACTTGCTCATGCGGGGTGAGGCGATGCCCATGGTGACATGTCGGGCCGCGTGGATTGTAGTGATACAGACGTAGTGTCCAAATGAGCAAATGAAGCATCCGGTGGAGCAGGTCAGCAAAATTGCAGTAGTTCCCGCGCTATAGTGAGGGACAGTGAAAGGGGCAGAGGCAGGTAAAGGACAGGCAGCGTACGGCAGAGAAGATGCGAGAAAGGTGACCCCACCATGTTGCAGACAGGCGGGCGTGGTGGTGGTGGGGGGGAAGCCAAGGTGAGAGCAAAGTGGTGAGAGAAGTTACATGCGTCCCACCAATGGCCTGCGCACGCTCCACCAGATTGGCCAATGACGTAGGTGCGCCTGCCCGCTGCTGCACCGCCGCCCTCCCATGCCTGACATCCGGCAGGCGCGCTCACTGCTGCTTATTTACCAGAGTCCCAACAAGCCCCTTAAAGCCTTTATCTTCTCTCTCCCTACCTCTACACTCAACACTTTACCAGGCCACTTTGAGCAGTCAGTTAGCAGCACTGATAACCCACCCAGCCTCGATACAACAACACAGCAACCATGGGCAAGGTAAACACGCACCCCCACCTTGAAAATGTACCCCGCCAGTACCCCGCTAACCCATGCATAGGCAAAGTACATCATGCTCGACTGCGACAACACGCTTGTCCAGTCAGAGCGCTACGCCTTCGAGGCCTGCGCTGACCTCACCAACGAAGTCCTCAGCAAGCACAACATCGACGCCAGGTACACGGCCGAGACACTGCTTGAAGACTTTGTCGGCCACAACTTCCGCGGAATGCTCAACGGCCTGCAGAAGAAGCACAACTTCCAGATGCCACCCGAGGAGATGGATGACTACGTCCAGCAGGAACTGGGTGCCGTCACTCGCAAGCTGAGCCAGAAGGCGGTTGAGTGTCCTGGCGTGACTGAGCAGCTCAAGTGGCTCAAGGAGCAGGGCTACCCCATGGCCGTTGTGTCGACTTCAGCCAAGAGCCGTGTCGTTGCCTCGATTGAAAAGGCGGGCATCGACCACTTCTTCCCCAACGAGCACGTCTACTCGGCTGCCACCTCGCTCAACCCGCCCTCGTCCAAGCCTGACCCCAAGATCTACCTGTACGCTGCTGAACAGCTCGGTGTCAAGCCATCCGAGGCTGTGACGGTCGAGGACAGCAAGAGCGGTGCCACGGCTGCCATGCGCGCCGGTATCCCCTGCATAGGATACGTTGGCATCTACGGCATCGAGGAGGGCAAGGAGAAGATGGAAGAGATGGCCAAGCTCCTCACAGAAGAGACCAAGTGCGCGGCCATCATGTACGACTGGAAGGACTTCCCCGAGTGCCTCAAGAAGGTTGAGGCTTCCATGTGAATGCATGGTAGAGCACCAGGCATGACGAAGATCTGATGAGCTCGATACGCCACTGCGGACGAGACTACGACCATTGACGGCTTCTATGAGTACATACATTCGATAATGAATATTTGATGGGCATGGCCCCCCTCCAAAGAGCTATTTCAGGATGATTGTTTGTGTTGTTTGGGTGTGATGTTTACAGGTTTTGTTTAACATGTGACGCAACAGTGGAACCCCGCGACGGTCGGTAGTAGCGGACGCGACGTGACGGCCCAACGTTGCCCCGTCGTCCCCACCGGCTCACGATCGAAAGAGTAGAGACTGGCAGCTGGACCTGTTCAAACGGGCATGGTTCGTCCGCACTACTGGGCGTTTTCTATTGGATGTTTGTTTGCTGGGCCAATTAGCAGCCATCCGATGCAGCGACGAAGAAAAAACTCATGTGCAGCTCCATTGGGCAGAAAACTCAGTCATCACGAGGTATTCGGACAGTATGGCTTTTGCACTACTACAAGTACATGCTCACATACATGAGTGTGTAATAGACAGTGTGACACTGGGCCGGTGATGATTCTCGCCACGTCGTGGAACTCTGAGGATATTGAAAGCGATCCACTCACCCCTATTCCTATTCCCATGACATTGCTGGGTGGTGATACCTGTCGGCAACGCGGCAAGCATAGTTATTGCCAGCCAAAAGCAGTGCTTCTCAACAATCTTGGCGTGCAAAGGCTGGTGCGTGCGGGCATCACGTTCTCTGCCCTTGGACACGCCGTCTGCGAGCAACGCGAGCGATGCAACATTGGAATTGCCCCTCTTGGGATCGTGCGCGCAACGCGTTATCTTTGGCGTTTTGACGATCGCGCTCTTGGCAGCTTTACTCCGCCGCCGGATAGGAAGAATCGACTGCGGCCAAGACATCTTAGACGAAGCCTCCTTCCCGAACCGTGCACCCATCCGTAGTTCAAGCTTTTGCTTAATCTAGAAGCCCCAAATACTCCTCTCCATAGGCTTGTCTGCCCTGGCTATACAATGCTTCGTATCCTTACTATGGGGCGCCTGTGCACCCACACCACTGCGTACCATGGGGCACTATACCGATGGTAGCATCCAAAGGGGGCAGGTAGCCTATAGACCTGCCTCGTTGGCCATAGGGGTTGCATTATAATAATTTGCCTACGAAGTTTCCATAGAACATTTAAGACCGTCCATGGACCTGTAGTACCTCGAGCACCGCTGTCTCGTTGCCTCTCAAGCCACCGCAAACATGTTCCTACGCACAGCTCTCCTCTCGCTGTCCGCCCTTGCGGTGGCAAAGGAAATGCCCAAAGATGAGCTTAGGGCTGCCCAGCTCTATGACTCTGGCATCAGGCACGAGAACAACATGGCCCTGAAGAAGGTTGCGACTCCGTTCCACTACGCTCGGCTTTGATGTTAACCAGTAACAGGAGTCATGGGCTAAACAAGAGGCTGCGGGCATGTACAACTCTGCCCAGTTCGCCGAGGTCAAGAACAAGGTCGAGTGCATCAACGGAACTGCCATCACCGACACCGATGTGTTCAAGTGCAAGAACGTCAGTAAAAATAATCCCCTAGTCGGATAGCAACAGCTGACCCATGACTAGATCGATCTCCTGCACTTCTTGTCGCATGCCGAGCTTGGCAGTACCCGTGGTGTCGGATCGTCATCGTGGGGTAAGTGATATGCATTTCCTTCAGAATGGCCAATGCTTATGACTTCCAGGTTGGACCTCGGACGATGGTCGCGAGTTTGTTGCAATCGGACAGCAAGATGGTGCTGCGTTTGCTGAGATCAACAAGGAAGGCAAACTCGTCTACCTTGGACGTCTTCCAGCATACTCGACCCCCAGCACCTGGCGCGAGATTCGTGGCCAGAACAACCTGATGATCATCGGTAGCGAGGCCCAGGGACACGGCATCCAGATCTTCGACATGAAGAAACTACTCACCGTTAACCCGGCTTCCCCGAAGGTCTTTAGCAACTCCAAGGATCTTACTGGTCACTTCAAGGGCCTCCCCAGTGGCCGAGCTCACAACGTCGTAACCAACCCTGAGACCAACTTCATCTACGCCGTCGGAGCGCAGCCCAGGACCGACAAGTGCAAGTCCGGCATCATTTTCATCGACATCACCGACCCTTCCAACCCAACCACCCCTGGATGGTAAGTCTGCAACCCTGGGAATCATCAACATGCAGCTGACATTGTATCTCAAGTGCGTCGCAGGACGGCTATGTGCACGATGCTCAGTGCCTTATCTACCACGGCCCCGACAAGCAGTTTGAGGGCCACGAGATTTGCTATGGTTATAACGAAGACTCACTTTCCATGCAAGTCAGCACCTTTGATCAAATGAGCAGCACTGACAAGGCCCAGTTATGACGTAACGAACAAGAAGGCTCCTGTTCTTTTGTCCGTCACTTCCTACGAGGGTGCAGCATACACCCACCAGGGCGCTGTCTTGGATCCCAAGAACCAGAAGTACCTGCTTCTTGACGACGAGTACGATGAGTACGACAAGGTTGGCCCCGGTGTCCCAGGAAACCCCATCACCTACATCTGGGACATTTCATCTCTGCGCGCACCAAAGCAAACCGGACTGTACAGGAGCGGAGCTAAGGGTGTCGATCACAACCAGTATGTTGCCAACGGTTTCGCATACCAGTCCAACTACGGCACTGGTTTCCGCGTCCTGGATGTCCGCTCGATTCCCCAGGATCCCACCGGTGCTGGTGTTAGGGAAGTTGGCTTCTTCGGTAAGTTATTTTTGCCACCCTTGGTATTGAAGAACATCAAAATTGATTATGATAGATATTTACCCTGAGGATGACAACATGCCCGGAGGCGGCAGCGTTGACTTTGTTGGAACTTGGTCTAGCTACGCGCTATTCAAGAGCGGTCACATCCTAGTCAACACTATGGAGCGTGGCGCGTTCGTTGTCAAGTTGCAAGCGGGTTTCGACAAATAAGCAAAGAAGGAATAATGATAATGATGGCCTGGACCTTCTTGTATCTAATTGAGACGTGGTTCTGTAAAGATCTATCGGTCCTAGTCGTATTCGGCCGGTTGCGAGTGTGGCTTGACTTATCAATTCGTAATTTGACCAATGCTACTCGGCTCTATTCCCTTGTGCTTGCCCGCTTTTTTGATCATATACCCGTTGCCAAGTCCAGCGCATAACAGCCATAGTGGTAGCGAGGTGACGGCTGCCGAGGCTCCCAATTTAGACTACCACAACCAGCCACTTTAGTCACACATTGCATATTTTTTGATCAAATTGAGAGCAACCTGTTGCTAAGCCGAGAGCTTCTCGAAGTGTTTCAGTGGCGGGATCGTCGCTTTGCCCCTTCCATTATCATCCGCCCTGATTCTGGCGCTATCATGCCAAGGCGATTCGACGGGGAATGGATGTTTCTTGGCGGGGAGTGGATTCTTGGCCGCCATCTAACTTCCCAATCAAGTGTCGTCTGGCCGTGAGCTAGGTATGTCCGAGAGATGATGCGGCTATTCTCCTTCCTCATACAACACAGCATCACGCAGCCAAGTCGACCTTCATCAATTTCGTCGCCTTCGCCCCCAGCCCTTCACCCGGCTACCCGTCACCAATATCCCACAGCATGCCTTGAATACCCATTCCCCGGTTCCCGAACAGTGGCCAACTAGCCATCGCAATAGCAGCTGCCTGAATTGGTTAGGCCAATGAGCACGCGACTATGCTAGCCCAACTCTCATAATCATTTACGAGGACGTCCACCAGAGTATATAGAGCCATGCAATTCCGGTTGGATCTGGCACGGCAGCCTTCTCAGTCTTTGCTCATCTCTCATTCTCGATATTCAAGATGAGGTTCGTTCCATTCGTTGCGCTCGCTGCGCCTGTCCTTGCCCAGGTTGGTCCCAAGCCAAACCCAAACACAAAGCCCGGCAAGCCTGGAAAGCATCACGATAAGCCTAAGAAGCTTGTCACTCCCAAGGATCTGATCAAGGACATTAAACTTGAGGATCTGCTCAAGGGTTCCCAAAAACTTCAAGACATTGCCGACGAAGCTGGCGGTAACCGTGCTTTTGGTGGCACAGGACACAACGCGACCACCGAATGGTTGTACCAGACTTTGTTGGCCACTGGCTACTATGACGTGTACAAGCAGCCATTCGTTGAGCTTTTCACCGCTGCTACGACCAAGCTCACTGTCGCCGGTGAAGATATTCCCGTCTCTTACATGACCTTTGGCCCCTCTGGCGATGCCACTGCCAACATTGTCAAGGTTAACAACCTGGGATGCGCCGCCGCAGATTACCCTGCTGCTGTTTCTGGCCAACATGCACTCATCTCTCGAGGCACTTGTCCCTTTGCCGAAAAGTCTACCCTAGCAAAGGCTGCTGGTGCTGTAGGCGCACTCATCTACAACAATGAGCCAGAGCAACCCCTCTCAGGTACCCTTGGAGGTGCAGGCAACTACGCTCCTACTGTCGGCATGACCAAGGAGGCTGGAGAGGCTCTCATTGCTAAGCTTGGAAACAGCACTGCACTCCAGGGAACCCTCTTCATCAATGCTATCCAGGAAAACCGCACCAACTACAACGTCATTGCTGAGACAAAGGAGGGCGACCACAACAACGTCCTCATGATTGGTGGCCACACCGACTCCGTCTACCAGGGCCCTGGTATCAACGATGACGGATCTGGTACTGTTGGTACTCTGGTCGCTGGTCTTGCTCTCACCAAATACAAGATCAAGAACGCCGTTCGTCTTGGTTTCTGGGGTGCTGAGGAGTTTGGCAAGCTTGGATCCTTCTACTACATGAAGACCATCAACGGCACTTTCGGCGGCAGCACCGCCGAGGCCAACAAGATCCGTGCCTACCTCAACTTCGACATGATTGCCTCGCCCAACTACGTCCTTGGTATCTACGACGGTGATGGCAGTGCCTTCAACTTCTCTGGCGCAGCCGGTTCCGACAAGATCGAGAAGGACTTTGAAGAGTTCTACGAGGAGCGCGGCCTTCCCCACGTCCCCTCCCTCTTCACCCTCCGCTCCGACTACGCTGCCTTCCTCGAGAACGGCATTCCCTCCGGCGGTCTCTTCACCGGTGCCGAAGTCCTCAAGACCCCCGAGGAGGCCCAGCTCTTCGGCGGTGAAGCCGGTAAACCCCTCGACGGATGCTACCACCAGGCCTGCGACGACATCAACAACCTCAACCACGAAGCCTACCTCCTCAACACCCAGAGCATCGCAAACTCCGTTGCCAAATACGCCGTCTCTTTCGAGGGTATCCCCAAGGCCAATGCTACTCTCCGCAAGCGCGGTGCTGAGTCGGCGCGCTTCATGAGCAGGTTCGACCACGGTGGCCATGAGCACCTTGGCCAACCTTGCGGTGCTGGAAAGCACGCTATTTAAAAAAATTCATGTTCTATAATGATTTGTTGGGGGGTTGAAAGGAAAATGATGAGATGATACCATGAGAGAAATCTTTTTGTAAAAGTAGATGAAGAATAATACCCGTTTTTTTGTTACTTTTGACTTGACTTTTGCTATATCTGGTGATTGAATGCTGTGAAACTTTCGATTTCTATCATTTTATCTTCGTAGTTGAGTTGTATCGTTGTTCTGATGTTAGGGCTAAGGACATCTAGTCCATCTCTTCATCACTCAAGCTCGACACTTCTCATCGCTAATATCAACAACATTTTTTTAAAAAAAAATCCCTTGATTCAATATAAAACTACAAGAAGCGTACAAAAAATTACCTATACATTCAATCCAAGAATTAAAAAAAATATGTAGAAACCTTCCCAAAAACTTTGGCCGAGATTACACTTTCTCTCCTTCTCCCCCCGGTAATCTGGGGGAAAGGGAGAGAGGAACTCCACAAAACGAGCATTCCGGTGCCACTTTCCACCTCGTATGTTCACAAGATTTGCAGTACTCAGGAGTTGATATACTGGAGCCTAGTACCCATTTCTTATTCACATAGTACACTTTTGCATTCAACATGTGCTTAGCGATGGAAGTATGTCGCATATGATATCTTCCTGGCGCTGTGAGGAGTTAGTTATACGTGTGTTTTGGAAAGAGTGGGGAAGGAAGGACAAACTTTGGGGAGAGTGCCGGTGGTAGGGTCGGTTGAGAGAGAGTCCTCGAGATTGACTGAGCCGAGGGTGCCGGAGGCTTGGCGGCGCTACGTGGAGGGTTAGTTTATATGCCTGCTAGTAGAAAGAATTTAGGGCAAGGGGAAGGCGAACTTGGCGGGGAAACTCAGGGAGAGAACCGGTAGTAGGGTCGATTGATAGAGACTTATCGAGATTGACTGAGCCTAGGGTGCCGGAGGCTTGACGGGGCTGTGAGGAGGGTTAGTTATATGCGCGTTAGAAAGAGTTGGGGTAAGGAGAGTGGCATCATTCTACACTTACGCCCAGATCCACTACCGTAAAAGGTTGTATAGCCTCTGAAACATCTTGCTGGCGCTTTAATGAGTTAGTTCTACGCGTATGTTGAAAAAAAATAGTGGGTTGGGAAGGACGAACTTTGGTGAGAGCGCTGGTGGCAGAGTCAGGTGTCATTGGGGAGGGCACCGCCGCAGTATCAACGGTTGGGGAAGTGACATCCTCAGGAACAAACTCGGTGGTAGCGCCGGAGGCAGAGCCGGGTATCGCTCCAGAGAGCTCAGCCGGAACCTCAACAGGTCTGGCATGGGCGCTTGAGGCGAGGAGGAGGGAGGTTAGGAGGAGGAAGTTCATGGTGAGGTTTTGTGGGTGGTTGGGTTGGTGAGGGAAGTAGTTTGGTTGATGAGATGGATACAAGGTGAATGTTTCAGAGAGTGCCTTTATATATTGGTCTTGTAGATCTCGATTTGACAAGTTCATTGGAGGGTGCTTTTCATAGGTGGCGTTTGTCTATCTATATTTCGCAAGTCTTTTGGGGCGACTTTCGGAAGTCTTGGTTGGAGAGGCGGGGAAGATCGTCCTGGATTTCTTGGATGGTTCCCAAGCGAAATTTTTGTATCGAGTGGGCTGACTTTGGTGCAAATCAGCTTCTAAAAGATGTCCTTTTTTAGATGCTTTTGGTCGGTTGGATGGCTTGGCGAGGAAGCCACTTTTCACACAAGATCTTCTCATAATGCTTGAACGTCCTATTTGGGAAGAATTTTGCGTGATCTGGCCGATCCTTGAGTCTTTGAAATTTGGTTTTGTGGGGTGGGCTGCTTGCGGTTTGTTTCTTAGGAAGGCACATGGAGATGCAACGTCAGACACCGATTTATGACTGAATGTACTCACAGGTGTTTATTTTTTGAGATTTGACGCTCCTATCGGCTCCTGCATACATCATAGAGCATCGAGTCTACTGCACCAGTCTAGCAGGTTCGTCTTGCTAATGTACACATACGCAATGTACAGTTCACGAGATAGACGGTACCTCAGTTTTGAGACTAGTTCGTGTGACAGTTCAAGATAAAACTTAACTAGATCATGCGTATCAGTGATCGTAGAATTGTGGCTGCCTTTCCTAGTTTCGGCCAAGTGCTGATGATGGATGCGTATTCACATGACAGTAGCGTAGGGTTGGGAGATGGCTAATGCTAGAAGCCACTAATGATAAAAGGCACTCTAGAATGATAATTGACAGAATCTGAAAAAACTTGACATTATATGAAAACGGTATGCCCATTGCATATGCTGCTGTAAAGAGCACTGCTTATGCGCGCTACAATCAACGCCCAGCTGCAGTGTATACCTATTTCGCTGCTCATATAACGTGTTTCACCACCGAGCGCCGCACCCCACCGAGCGCCGCAGTTCCCCCACTAAAACAACGTCG